AGGGGGAGGGGGGGAGGGGGAGGGTTTGGGTTGCATTTGCATGGTCTTTTCTTGCTCGCTTCCTTCGCGTTTACTTTCGAAGACTGTAAGGAAGGCTGAGAGAGTAAGGAAATCCGTCGAGAAGGGGGAAGCACTTCTATCGCTCTCGCTCGGTTCGCTTCGCCCTCGCTCCGTGATCCTCGCTCTCCTCGGCTTCGCCTGATCTTGCCAACGCCCCTGACTCGCTCTCACGATGTGCTTCGACCCGACGCACCCTCCTGCGTCGCCAGCCTCGTCGATTGCTCCCCTCGCTCTCCTCGAGTCACTCGAGCGAATCTCGTCGAGTCCGCTTGCGACGCCCGTGACTCGCCCACTGACGAAGCGCTGACGAAGCGCTTGCGAACGAACGGCCTGCTTGCGGAGCTGCTGCTGCTCTCTCCTGCCCATCCTGCTCGCTTCAAAGCTCTCCACCACGCTCAATCACTTCCAGCCGACCACCATGTCCAGCGACGCTGCTTCGACGTACTCCTTCTCCTCGACCGCTCCTCTCACAGGCGCAGGCTCGTCTCCCAAGGTCCGTCTCTTCCCTCTTTCCTCCCTCCCTCCTGCCTCGCTCACTTTCTTGAACGCACGCAGAGTCCCTCCCTCCTCTCCAAACTCCTCCGCCGCTCTCCCTCTCCCGAGGCAGCCCGACCCGCTTCGCCGCCAAAGACCAAGACGTCGGAGGAGACCTTCCGCGAGATCATGGCTTTGAACGCTTCGCACGGTGATCCGTCGGTCCAGGTGCGTCTTCCTCCTCCTCCCCTTCTTTGCGAGTGGAACTGTTCAGCTGACGGTGCTGAGTGGACAGGCCTATTACCTCAAGACCACCGCGAAACCCAAGTCGCCCAAGTCCGCCTCTCCGTCTCCCGCTCGCTCCGCTTCCTCCTCGCCCACCAGCACGCCGAAGCGCGACGCCTTCACCGAGATCATGGCACTCAACGCCAAGCATGGGGACCCGAGTGTTCAGGTATGTCCTCCGCTCTTTTCCCGCCTGGATTCCGCGCTGCTTTGGGTGGTCGAAGGCTGACGGGATGCGAGAGGGGACAGGCTTATTTCGTCAAGTGATTGCTCGGCGACGACTCTTCAAACGACACAACCCGCACGTAACCGGTACATATCACCCAAAGCCGTCCCACGACGCACACGAACCCGCCGCCGAACGAGCGCTCCGTCCGTCAACGGCCGTTGTGCACCCTTCTGTGCCGCTCGGTCAGTCAATGTTTGGCGGGAGACGTAGAGGGAGGAGACAGGAGCGGGGACGGTTGAAGAAGAGGAGCTGTACATTTCGCCGACCTGAACTTTGATCTCGTCTCGGTTCTTCGCGTCCAATGCGAGCCCGCAGCGAGAAACAACAACGACAATGGGATTGCGAGCGAGCAAGGTGCGCTATGTACGACGAACGACGAGACAGAAAGGACGATTATGTGCAAAGTGCGGTTGAGAATCCTGCGCTATCACTCCTCCTCCTCCTCCTCCTGCGATGGCTCCCCCTCGTCCGGTACGATCCCCTTCCTCCACCGCGCCAGTTCAACAACCGTATCCCTCATCTCCTCCATCACCCTCTCCTCCTCCTCCCTCTCCCTCCGTTCGAGAAACTGCAAATCCCGCAACTTGTTCGACAACTTGTTCAACCTGACGACACTCTGCCTGTGTACATCGACTGCTTTCGCCGACGCACGGACGAGAGACTCAAAGTGGTCGATGGAGGAGGTGAGGCGTTGGTCGAGGAGGGTGTGGGTGCGGAAGAGGAGTGCGAGGACCGGGTGGACAAGAGGCGTGAGCAGCGAGACGAGAGAGTCGTAGTCAGACTCGCCGGCGTCGGTTTCGTCCCGCTCGCTCGAGCTCGAGTGGACCGAGCCAGGCGGAGTCGGCGGAAGTGACATCGCTCGTCCCCTCGTCGGGCTGGCGCTCGCCTCCGCGCCATCTGTCGTCCGCTCGCCGTCGTCGTGCGCCTCGAGAGGCTCCGCCCCCGCCGCAGGAAGCTCTGGAAGCCGGAACTCGCTCGTCAACTTCGGACTCGCCTTCTCGATCGCCCGTGCCGCGATGGTCGCAACGAGCTCGTCCTCGATCGCCTGCCACTCGTCGTCGAGCACCGTGTCGGCGACGCCTTTGTGAACCTCGGCCGCGTCGAGCTCGAGGTCGACGAGCAGTTCCTCGACGAACGCGAACGGGCTCAGCGGCGAGTCCGGTTCCGCCGACGCCTCGGCGCCCAGTACCTCCTTCGCCTTGCCCTTGCCCTTGCCCTTGCGCAGAGAGCGGAGTACCCGCCGATCGAGGGCGGCGACCGTCCTGTCCGCTCCCGCCTTGAACGCCCCGTTCAGCTTCTCGACCCGCTTCGCCTCGGCGTGCGCATCCTGCGCCGCCTTGCTCGCCTGCAGCACGCCCTCCTTGGCACCCTGCGCCGCGAGTCGCTGCTGGTCGCACGCCTGTCTCGCGCGGGCGAGTGCGTCGACGAGGATGGCGCCCTGTTCGCGCGACTCTGCGAGTGCGCGCGAGAGGGTGACGAGCGCTGCGACGAGGACGCGCGGGCGGAGCGGGACGTTGGGGATCGTCTGCCACGGAGCGGGCGAGCCGGCAGACTCGAGCGTGAGGCGGCTGAACGCCAACGACGACGGCGCGGGCAAGTCGAGCGCAAAGCGTGAGGTCGCGGTCTTCGTGGTCGCCGCCGTCGTCGCAGACATGCGTCGTCGTCGTTGCGAGTCGTACAGGACAGGACAGTAGCTGTGTGGCAGTGGCACGAGACGGCGTGAGACGATCCTTTCGTCGTTGCCCAGCACCCGACAACGCACCCGCACGAGGGAGAGTTCGCCCTGTCACGGCGCAGTCCGGGTCCAGCAGAGTCGGGCTAGCTGGTAGCAGTCACTAGAGAGAGCAGTACGGCGCAGGCAGCGAAGCGAGCGGCGCGCGCGAGAAAGAGCGGCAGTCCATCCAGGAACAACTCGACGACCTGCGAGCTCTGCAAAGGTGACGACCGCGAGCAGTCCCAAGGGGGAAGCCACCCTGCTGCGTGTCTCTTCAACCGGGCACAGCGCACGAGCGGGAAGAAGCGTTGAAGAGGGAGAGGCAGCGAGAGGAAGAGAGAGACCGAACGCTCGCAGCGGGACGACGGACACCGAGGACACGCGGGACAATGCTTTTGCAGCGAAGCACGGCGACGTGCAAGAGAGGGAGACACACGGGCGATGGGTATCAAAGAACAGCTGGAAAGGAGAGTGTGGGAGACTGTGCGAGCGTGCAAGGAGGCGAGTTTTCGTGGATCCGAGGAGGAGGACATCGGTCTAGGTCGGAGTGCGAGGGCGGGCTCAGAACGACTTGTCGTTGACCTGCGACATCGAAAGCGTCAGGTCCTGTGCTATCTCGTAGTGCAGAGAACACCGGACGCACCGCATCCTTGAGCTTGCCCACCCACTGCTGATAACTCGGCAGCGTCTCGAGGCGGTCCTCGATGAGGCAACTCAGCGCCCACTGCCGCAGCGCGGGGTCGCCATCCTCCTTGACGATGTACAGGTGCGGGTAGTAAGGTCCGCGCCGTGCCTCGCGCACTTTGCCGATGATCGCGTTGACCCGCTGCGAGAACGGGTTGTCGAGGACCGGGAGCGTGCCCTGCGATGACGAGCGCTCGTCAGCACGAGTACGCGATGCGGTCAGAGATCCGTCGCTGCGCACCTTGCCGCTCCGCAAGTCGGCATACGAAGGCAGGTCGAAGACATCGATGATGAGCTGATTGACGGCGTCGCGGCCGACCCAGAGGAAGATGTTTTGCCCGTCCTCGATGAGGAAGAGACCGTGCCGCTCGAGGCGCTCCGAGGTGAGCGGGAGAGGGTGAGGGAGGATGACGCCTTGGTCCGAGATCGTGCCGCACTGCCGATGCGAAAGGAGTTAGTTCGGGATTCAAGAGAGAGCGCCGCGGCTCGCCTCACCTCTTTTGGCATGTTGTGGAGGGAGTAGAAGACGGGGTGGAGGTAGGGGATGAGAAGTTGCGAGGGGAGGGTCGTGAGGAGGGCTTGCGAGTAGGCGCGGACATCGGACGGGATCATCGTGCTGTGTCGTAGGCCGGTCTGCGCAGGAAAAGCATCGCGTCAGTCACACTGGGCGAACAATGCGGGACGAACGCCAACTCGCGTTCTTGAGCAAGCCGAGCATGAGGAGCGGGAGGAACTTCATGTTGTCGCTGATAACAAGCTGCGGGCTTGCGCCCGACCCGCTGCTCGTCATCGTCGCTTTGTATGTGCCGAGGATCTCGATCATCTTGTGCTGCACCGCATCGCGCGCGTCCTCGAGCTTGGAGGTGCTGCTCCGCTCGACCGCCTTGTTCGCCATGAGCGTCGCGAGCGCGACCTGGTCGACGGACGCGTACAGCTCCGAGATCGAGCTTGTTGTAGGAAGGGCGAGGGTGACGACGCGGATGCGGCGCTCGCCGAACGAAGTCGTGTGCAGGACGGCGGTCTGGAAAACGACGAACGGCGCGCTGATCGGGTCCTCGATCTGGATCTCGATCGCATACGACTGGTCCATCGGGACGGCGGGCAGGGAGAGCAGGTCGGTTGAGCGAACGAAGAAGTTGCCGTGGAAGGCCGACATGCGGATGCCTGCGGGCGGAGTCGTCGTTAGCGGTGGATCACCTCGTCTCGGCGCACGGTCGACTCACCTCGCGAAGCACGGACACGCATGACCGCCTCGAGGCAGATCGGGTCGGCGATGACCGTTCCGAACTCGTGCGCAAACTTGAGGGCGTCCTCGGACCGGGCGGCGTTGAACGACGGGTAGAAGTACGTCTGTCCGCCGGTGTAGCGAGGGAGGCCGCTCAAAGTCGCGACGTCCGTGTATGCCGAGCTGAACAGCCACATGTCGACCGAGACCTGTGACCGCGAGCACTCGATCGCGAACGTCTTGTACCACGAAGTCTGCGCTTGAAGGAGCGTCGACTCCTTGCTCGTGCCAAGGACCTTGCTATCCTCGCGGTTCTTGAGCGCGCCGGGACCGATGTTGGGCAGCGTCGCCGAGAGCGCGACGACCTTGCCGCCAACATGCGAGATGAGCTTGTACGCCGCCTGCAGACCTGCGCCGAGCGCATTGCCCGTGTTGTGCGTTTCGACAAACATGTCGTTCAGGCGGGTCAAGAGGTTCTCGATGCCCGCTTTGGCCTCGACGAGGTTGACGAGGATGTCGCTCGGCTTGGGCAGGAAGACGTCGTCGAGGTCGCCGACGACGAGCATCGACGGCTCGGTCGAGCCCTGCTCGAAAGTGAAGAAGTGCAGGCACGAGTCGACGCAGACGATCGAGATCTTGGTCCGACTGTCTTCGTTCGGCAGGCGGTCGAGCGATTCGAGGAGGGTGCGGGCGGCAGTCGCGACCATGCCGGACGAGATGGCCGAGTACGAGACGTCGAGGACAAAGACGTAGATCGGCGCTTGTGGTGCTCGGACCTGCGGCGTGCAGGGTTAGATGGAGCGAAGTCACGGTGGATGGACTCGGACGCACCATGTACTCGGTCGGCGCGACAAACTCGACCACGCTCGAGTTCAACTCGTGTCGTGCGTACCGGTCCGCCGGCTGATTCTTCTCCTGGTCCCAGTCGAACAGCTGCGGAACCTCGTTCGACAGCCCGCACATGCAGCACTTCCACCGCTGGCCGCCCTCGATGAAGGTGACGTAGGGATTGATGTATGTTCGGCAGCGGCGGCATCGAGCGATGACGGTGTCGCTGACGACGGGGACTTCGGGCTGCGCGGGACAAGCGGGTCAGGAGGGGCGTGCGAAAGCGAGAACACGCGAACGCACGTCTCCTGGTTTCAGACTGCGGTAAGGAGTGAGGACGAGGGCGAGCGGGATCTTGGACTTGTTGAGGAGGGTCTGGGTCGTAGGAACGGCGTTGAGAGTCGAGCGCTGGTAGGAAGGGTCGGCGTTGCGGGTTGGTGATTGCGAGAAGGAGGCCTGCGACAACGATAGCGTCAGCGACTTGGAGAGTACGCCCTTAGCGAGAGCACCCACATTGGGAGGAAGGTTGATCTCGGGCGGGGTGAGGGTCATGAGCTCGAGCGGGTTGAGCGGCATATTGACGAGGTTGACGTTCTGGACGTCCGCTGTCGGCCTCGGTCCGCCCACAGGTCCCGCGCCCATACCCATCGCACCAAACTGGTTCGTCATCTGGCTCATCGCCGCGGGACCGCCTGCACCAGGCGCACCGTACCCAGGAGCTGCGGGAGCCGAGAAACCGTCCGGTCCCGCACCAGGCGCCTGCGCACCTGGCGCTCCAGGCGTGAAGAACTGCCCGCCCGCTCCCCCAGCGCCCGAGCTGGGGTCGACCTGCCCTCCCGCTCCTCCGCCCATGACAGCCGCCGCACTCGCGGGCGAGAAGAACGCGCTCTGGGTGTGCGCGTGCCCGCCTCCTCCGCTGGCGTCGCCCGCGATGTACGCCGCCGTGTCTCGCGCGTACTGACGTCGCCCGGGTCGGCGAGGAGCAGGCATCGCGCCGAGCGTGTCGGCTGCACCCGCTGCGCCGGGAGGAGGGGTGTTGACGGTTCCTGGCGGTGGAGTGGGCTGCGCGCCGGGCTGCGGGGGTGGTGCGCCGTAGTTGTAGGCGTCTTGTGCGGCGGGAGGACCGGGCGATGGAGTCGTGCCGGGAGGTTGAAAGGGAGGGATGGGGTTGCGGCCGCCTGCAGCCGGAGGACCGTTGCGGTACGGCGAGAGGGGCGGACCGCGGCCGAAACCATTGTTCTTGACTGGCGAGGTCTGCATCGGGCCGGAGATCGAGGCGTGCACGCCGTGACGGGCGCCGGGAAAGGGTCGCTGGCCGGGAGGAGGGAGAGGAGCCGAGGCGGGGAAGTTGTACTGCTGTCGGCCGGAAGAGGTTTCTGTGGAGAGTACGAAGCGGTTGGTCAGTTGGCCAGGCCTCTCGCAGGTTGCTTGGGGAGCAGGATCAATCGGCCAGGGTAGTCGAGGTCCTCGCTCGTCTCCTCGCGCGCACCTGCGCCGGTCCGCCCGAGAGCAGTTCCGCAAGGTCCATCCTCAGTCTGGCAACCTCCCTGCCTCCCCTCGCAGGTCTTCCTCGCCGAGTCCGCGACCAGCGTCACCCCACCGCGACCGCATCGCTCGCTCCTCTCGCCCGTGTCGAACCAGGCCAGGACTTTGCGTGGAGCTCAGTGGGACGACAGCTCACCGATGAAGAGCATCCTGCCGACGGCCGAGTCCCTGCGAGGCGAGATGTCAGTGCGTGTGTCGTTGTTGGACGTGGAGAGCGGGCGGGGGAAGGGAGCGCACCACTCTGAGCGCCAGCCGGGTGGCAGCGGCGGATGCGGCATGGCTTGCGACGCCATCTCTCAGTCAGAGCGAGCCCAAGCACGAGCGAAGCAGTGTCGAGTGAGCGAAGACAGCGAGACGACGGCGGTTTGTAAGGGTTGTATTCAGTTGAATACAATCGGGGTTGTATTCGTTCCTCATTACAAACTGAATACAATGTGCTCGCTAATCCTTCCATTACAACTCTTCATCTCTGTTCCTCACGCTCAACCATGCTCTGCAGCGCGAGGAGGGGTGCTGCGCTGCTCAATCGCGAGCTGCGAGCCGAGTGCCACGCTGGACACGCCCGCCGCTGCTTCTCGTCGACTCGCCCCGTCGCCCGCAAGCCTGATCCCGGCGCACCCAAACCGCCGTACAACGTCCTCTTCTTTGGCGCAGACTTTTTCAGCTGTGCGGTCTTGAAAGAACTGTGGGAGGCTGGGTCAGGTGCGTGCTGTCCAGGGGCGATGCGACGAGGAACGTCTCGAAGTTGACCTTGACTTTCGCTTGCAGACTTGATCGGCAAGACGGTCGTGGTCGTGCCGCCTGAGCAGAAGACGGGACGGAAAGGAGCGCAGACATACGTCCGTGAGTCGCGCAGGACCGGGTGAAGTGGATGGTCGCCGAGTTGACCTCGACTTCCGCAGCTCCTCTGAAGACGCTCGCGCAACAGCTCGACTTTCAGGTCGAGGAGGTCCCTCCTGCAGAGCTGAAGGAGTGGGTGGTGCGTGGAAGGGTCGTACAGTGCGCGCGAAGCGGAGCTGACGTCTGTTTCCTCCCTCTGTCTCCTCCCGTTCCTCCGACAGATCCCTCGACCATGGCGAACAACAACCGGCTCGCAGATTCCCGACTCGGAGAACGTCATCGTCACCGCCTCGTACGGCCACATGCTGCCCCTCGAAGTCCTCAATAAAGTCCAGCAACTCAACGCTCTCAACGTCCACCCTTCGATTCTCCCGCGGTGGCGAGGAGCGGCGCCGATTCAGTATGCAATCATGAAGGGTGATGCAGACGGTGTCAACTCGGGCGAGGGAGAGCAGCTGGGCGTGACGGTGCAGGAGTTGAGTCGCGGCGCGTTCGACAAGGGTCGGATTCTGGCGCAGAAGGCGGTGGTGCGTTCGCTTTCCTGTACTCACAGCTCTGCCGAACTCACCTCTCTCTCCCGCGCGTAGCCCTCACCGGTCTCGCAACCCGGCTACTTCACACTCGAAAGCCACCTCGCCCGCGAAGGCGGCCTCCTCCTCGTCGATGTCCTCCGCAACTTCCACGCACGACAGCTCGCCGCATCGCCGCAGGACCCGGACAAGGCGACGCTCGCACCGAAGATCACGAAGGAGGTCGCAAACATCAAGTGGAACTTGCAGTCGGCGAGGGAGATTGAGCGGTTGAACCGGGCTATCGGTCACCAGGTGCGTGCGACGTCGCTCGGCCCCTTCACTGGTGGATGGTCGCTCACTCTGGTCGTCCACAGGAACCCCTGCGCGGCCACTACGTCTCGCCGTCGACCGCCGCGATGATCACCGTCCAGATGCGCCTCTCGCGCAACATCTACCCGCTCCCCGACCAACTCAAGGACGCTCTCCCCGGCGTCGTCTTCTACGACAAAGCGCAGAAACTCGTCCTCGTCCGCTGCGCCGACGCGGAGGAGGCGGTCGCAATCGACCAGATCAAGAAGGACAGCGGCATCTGGGTGTTTGGGAAGGACTGGTACAACGGGATCAAGAAGCTCGATGGGCAGCAGTTGCTCTTTGACACGGACGAGTGGGGCTACCGCCCTTCTGTGGGCTGGCGGAAGAAGGACTGGAAGAAGGACGTCAAGAAGCCCGAGGCTCCGCCACCGCCTCACCCTGTTCCGCCTCATCTCCGCGATCGGCCGCTCCCTCCTCACCTGCAGAACTCGCCGGCCGCGTGAGGCGTGGCTCTTGGGCTCGAATAGACGTTCTCCTCCCCTGTGTCAACCTGTAGCATTCTCGCATCTCGCAATACCATTCTCGCCATGGAGGCCCATCTTCACGTCCGAGAGCGATGTCACCGTGCTGCATTCCCTGCTTCGACCGGTCTGCTCCTCGTCAGATCGAGCCGCAGCCGATACGCGTCCTTCCCGTTCAGATAAAACCGGTACAGCCTCTTCTCCCGCACGAACCCCATCTTGGCGTAGAAGGCGAGCGCGGCGTCATTGTCGGCTTCGGTCTCGAGGACGATCTCGTCGACTGGCTGGCGGGAAGGGTGGTCGGGCGGTAAGGAGTCGAGGAGGGAAGGCGGTGGGCGGATCATGATGGACAGCGATAGTCGGAGGAGGTGGGTGGCTGCGACAAGGTGGAGAGTCAGCGAGCCAGGGCGGAGAGTTGGCGGAGAGCGAGCGCACCAACGCCTCGCCCCCGATAGCCTTTCCGCGTGCTCAACATCGCCAAGTACCCTCGATTCAGCGGTCTCCGTCGCCCTTGCTCGCCCTTGCTGGGATCGATGTCGTCTATTGGTACCGATTTAGACGACTTAATATGCGGTTCTTGCTTGCAGACGATCACGCCGATGGGGAGTTCGCCAGCGTAGGCCTGTCGAAAGCGGCTCGAGGTCAGCGAGTTGCGCGCTGAGATGCGAGCAGTTACCCTGATGGATGCACGTACGAAGAAGCAGAGATGAGGCCTGGAGAATATGATTGAGAGTCAGTACAGCTCGTCGAAGTGAACGAGGAGGTCGACCAGAGCTTCGACACTCCGTCAACGGCCACGCTGCAGACATGAGAAGACTCGCTCGACTCACCAGTCGTCGAGGAAGTACCGGTACGTGTACAGGTTGTACGGTTCGCTCAACTCGTCGTCGACCAACTCGACGATCACGTCCATGTCCTCCTCGCCGCGGTAAGCCCGGTAGGTGATCTCGGCAGCATATCTTCGACTGTCCTGCGAGTCCCGCTGTCCGTTCTGCGCGGCTGGTGGTGTGGCAGCGTCGTTTGATGAGAGTTGAGGCGGTGCGGGGGTGGTCGAGGTGGACGGGGAAGGAGTCGCAGGCGTGGGAGAAAGCGTGAGGGCGTGCAGTGACGGAAGTGCACCAACCTCAGCGTCGGGCGAAGCCATCTCGAGCGGGTTGAGCGAGAGCAAGTGAACGGAAGAGGTGAAAGCGAGCGACGAGACGGAGACAGTGGTCTGGAGCGACGAGACTCTGCGCAGGTACGATTGCAATACACAAAGAAAGTCTACGACAGGCGCAAGCGAAGCGGCGGAAGGACCAGGCGTTCACAATTCCGCCTCCTCGTCCTCCTCATCCCAATCGAGGCCTTCTGCCAGCAGCGCCTCCGTTTCCTCCTCGAGCTTGTCGAGCCCCGTCAGTCGCTCGAGGTACTTGGCGTCCTCGCAAGACTGTCGGACGAGGTCGAAGGCGTTGGTGCGGTAAGCCTCGAGGATCTGCGGAGTGCACAAGGTCAGCACCGCTTCAAGCGAGTCGAGGACGATCAAGCAGCCTCACAGCCTTGGAGCAGCCAGTACACCGCTCGTAGGTGTGACCCGTGATTTTGAGGTTCTCAAAGTTGGCGAGGAATCCGCGAATCTGGTGTGGTACCACACCGAGAGGCGAAGCGGGAGAGGGCAAGCCGGATGAAGGTGCGGCGGGAGAAGCTTTCGACGCTGTAATGTCGGAAGGTGCGAGGGCGCTGTACCCGAAGTCTGTCAGCGACGTCGGCGGATGGAGGGCAAAGCGGCGCTCACCCTTGCGGATGCTGCAGGATCGAGACCATGAGTTCGACGGCTGTCGAGCTAGCGATGCTCGCGATGCCGGGTCGAGTGACGGTGCACATCTGGTCGAGTGTGCGGTCGCTCAGGGACTGCGAGATCGCGGAAGTCAGTCCATGAGCTGAAGAAACGGGAAACGGGCCATACTCACATCCATCGGCGCGACCACGTCGTTGCAGTAGTAGCAGCCAAGTTGACCGCGGTACGGCGCACCCGGGACGATCTCGGCGGGAGTCGAAGCGGCCGATTCTTCCGTCGGAAGGCCATGCCGCATGACGAGGAAGGTGTCGAACCCGAGGGCGGCGTTCATGACGAGCTGTGGGCAAGGAAGTGTGAGACTCTCGCTAGACAACGCAGATACGCGTGCTTCGCCGGAACTCGAACAAAAGAACCTACCTTGCCCTTCGCCGCGCCGATCACGGTCGGCAACCAACGACTCTCCCGCGAGTCCATCAGCAAATAGACGACATCGTGTTCGTCCACTAGCCGCTCAAGGGTCGCCAGGTCTTGCCGAACGGCGTCCTGCGCAGTGGGCGGGATAGGGTGGCCGGGCATGGGGATTGAGAGCGAGATGCCCGTCGCGTCCTGCAAGAAGAGCTCACGTGAGGCTATGACGAGATCGAGGGTAGGAGGAACCTACGACGCCGGGGTAGATGCGCTTGAGCGCCGCTGCCGCAGTCTGGGCCTTGGGTTTGCCGCCGTTGAGCGAGTCTTCGAATTCGAACAAAGGCTGTCGGACTGGATTCGAGAAGGAGACGGTCGAAGAGTCGATGAGGGTGATCTTGCGGACCCCCCAAGCCTGTGAAGGGAGGCGAAGTCAGCGCGAGTGCGGCTCGAGGTGGGGCGAAAGAACGCACCATCAAGGTTCGCGCGACGTAGCAACCGAGCGTGCCGGCGCCGAGTAGAAGACACCGCGTGCTCTTGACCTTCTCGAGGTCGAGAGACGGCATGACGCGCCAGCGCATCAGCTGAAGGTTCAGGTCGACGGCTTGGTCGGCGAGTCTGCCGTGAGAGAACGCGTCAGCCGCCTCGCTCGAGCCTGAGCTGGCTCGCAAGCACCAACGCACCGAGTCGGGTCTATCAAGGGTCCGAGATCCGCCATCCTCGGTCCTAGCTTCCCCTTCTCGTTCTTCTCCCATCCGACCGTCCCAGGTCTTTTGGCCTCTTCCTTTGTCTCCGCTCCTCCCTGTCGTCGTATGCGTGTCGAGATCGCTTGACCGTCGCGAACGAGCGTGATGGCGAGCGAAGTTATGGGCTGAGTGAGGGTGGGTGTTATCGAAAGGAAGAGGAGGACGTTGCGGAGAGGCCAGCCGGGCGCTGAAGGGTGGGCGGAGGGATCGCTCAAAACAATTCGACGCTGTATGCCAGTAGTCAGTACGCGTGGTCTGAAGAAGAGGCGGAGAACCGCTCGCCTAACCTCGTCGGCGGGCGTGTTTGCCCAGAACGCCGCAGCGTCGGCCAGCGCGCCTGTCTCTGTCTCGTCGCCGCGAAGAAGGTGCAGAGGAGCGGTCGAAGTCTGTCACAGTGCGCAGAGAAGTCAGCCTCCGAGATTCCAGCGACGTCGACGAAAGAAGCGCACCCCTGGCAACGACACTTCCCGCCAGTCTGCGACAATCTCCCATCCCGGCTTTTGCGCCAGCGCAGGTAAGCCGCACCAGTAGTAGTATCGGTACTTCTTCAGGTCGGCAAACGTGATCAGGAGGAACGGGTTGAGGGATTCGAGCGTGACGGAGGAGGAGGAGGCCGAGGTCGCTTGTTGCCAGATCTGTAGGTCGTGACAGTCAGTAAGGCGATTGAGCCACGTCTCCTTGAACTCGTATCGCACCTGCTCTCCCAGCTCGTCGAGCAACTTGGCCTTGTCGCAATTCTTGAACTCTTCGATCGTGTTGAAGTTGCGCAGGACGCCGCGCAGTCGTACTCGGTCAATCACGACGGTCGTGTTACTGTGCCGAGGCGGATTAAAGGTCAGTATGGTCCCGCGCGCGACCAGCTCTTCTTCCGCGAGGGCAAACGGTCCACAAGCAGCTTCGTCGCCGTCTCGTCGACCAGCCTGTCCGCGAAACGTCATCCGCTCCACAGACCACAGAAGCATCGTCGCACGCTCTACCGAGCCAGTGAACGGCGCTGCTCACCTTGCCCCCACATCGGTCTCTGCGTCGAAGCTGGCGGTGTCGAGTTCCAAGCCAGCGCTGATGGCGACCGACTCGCCCGTGACCCTGTCCTTGACCTGCTTGCCACGGCCGAACCATCCGCAGATCGGCATCGGGTCGTCTGAGAGCTTGAGATGGTGCAGTTTGAGGTCTGTGAGACGATGCCAGAACGACGGCGAGATGGACGTCGAGAGGGGCAGGAATTGCAGCGGGGTCACAGCCTGCGTCTGTGCAGCCATTGCGCGTGCTTTCAGCCGGAAGCGGGGTGCTCGAGCGAGAGCAGATGTCGAGTAAGAGGGAGAGGAGCGTGGGACGGACGACTCGCGGGTCCTTCGGGCTTTAAGGACTGCAAGGGACACAGCGATGACCTAGATCTTGACTGCATTGCGCGCGACGTCTACAGAGCGAGGGCGAGCAACAGCAATCCGTCGCTTCGCAAACCGCAAAGTCCTCGCCAACACTGTCGCCTCGATTCAGCGACTATCTCCCTGCCAATCGCGAGCGTGAACCTGCGATAGAGATCATTCCTTGATGTCCCGACGCGCGGGCATCAATGGCGGCGGGGTCGCGCAAGCCTGAATCGACTGCGAGAGTGAGTCGCCTGCGAGAGACGCGAGTCCGAGCGAGGCCAGCGGGTGAAGCCGGGAATGGTCTACCAGTGGAGCGAGCGAGCGCTTGACTTGAAAGCGAGCGAAGGTGAGCAAACGGGCGCCTTGTTCGGCGAGTTTAGCGAAAGAACAAACAATCACAGAGCGGACGGACGAGCTCCTGCGCTATCCCTAGCCGGGTCTGACGAACCAAGTCGTCCGGACGTTCAGCAAGCTGTGGCTTAGCTGTCAGTTCCATCGACAAGTCGGAAGCAAACCTGTTTCGCCGCCGGAAGAACCGTCGTCAGTTCCGCTCTTCCGATCGGTGCGAGGTGCTTCGACTTGTCTCCCGTCAGGAATCTCATGTAGAATAAAGTTTGCGCGACTTCACCGGATCCGCCCTTGCTCAGGGTTGGGATCCTCGTCCATCGGTTTTGAACGAACTAGATCGACTCATCATGGGGAGGGGCGGAAGGGGAGAAGGAAGACTCACGTAGGGACGGCATAGACGTTGTGCGGCTAGGCGGTAGTAGCTCTGTCGAGGGTTGCAGAGTCCAGATGTCGAGGCGAAGGAAGAGCGAGGCGGCGGTCCTTTCGAGTTGCTGGCGGTCGGCACTCGGCAAGTAGGTCGTCGATCCGTGCGAGACGGCATGGAATCAAGAGCAAAGAACAAAGTCCCCATGAGCAGTCATTCGTCGAGTTGAGCTGTTGTGAGGGAGGAGGTACGAGGAGCGGTCAGCTTTTCGTGCTCCGTACCGCTCTTGCGTGCTGCTGCTCCAAAACAGTTATTCACTTCCTTCCCACATAGTCCTTGACCACTGTGCGCTCTCCACCGCAAGCGAATGCAAGCAACGTCCTCGTCCGCGACGTCAATCCCGTGCGCCGGCTCAACATCTTGAGAAGTGGAGACGCACCTGCATCGCTCAACTAGAACGACTCGGTGCACCGCACCTGATCCCACAGTCCCGCGCCGAGTAGCGATGGCAAGAAAAAGTCGCGAGTCGGGGGTGAGGCGAGCGAGTCGCAGGAGGCGGCGCGACGTGGCGAGAAGCAGTGCAGTCGCTCGTCAGGCTCTGTAGCGCGCGAGGGCAGTCATAAGACAACCGTGCGAGGTGAGCGAGTGTGTCGGCGGAAGGAGATCTTGTCGAGCAGAACGAGCGGAAGATTGGCGGCGACGGCGGCGACATCTGGACGTGGAAGAGCGCGCAGATCTCTCATTCTGCCCTAGCAAAAGACTGACGAGCGCGACTGTCCAAAAGAACGAAGGCTGGCAGAGTGCGACCCGTTCCCGGTCTTCAGGGCCTCTTACACAGCCGAATGCGGGCACGCCAACTTCGCGCGCAACTAGTAGTACACCGTCCCCTTCTCCGCTATCCGCTCGACCTCCCGCAGATCCGCCCGCTTGCCCTCATTCCACAGCCAGCCGTCCAAGTCTTGCTCCGTCCAGCTCGCGAGCCATTCCTTGCCCGTTTCCGCGGCGAGTCCGTGGGCTCGTTGGACGATAGCTGAGCATGCGCCTACCGAGGCGGCGCGAAGGCGGGCTGCGGAGGCGGAGGAGAGGGAGAGGGAGGACGAGTCGGAGAGCGAGAGTGAGCGGAGGGCAGGGTCGGAGGAGGCGGATAGGTCGAGGATGCCGTGGTGAATGAGAAGTGCTGCAGAGCATGGTTTTGGGTTAGCATGAGGCGCCAGTCAGAGAGAACTCGTCGCGTGAGAAGCGGCGAGGAAACGCACTCGGCAGGACGTTGTCGGCAAAGACAGGGAAGCCCGATATGTCGGGCACCTTGAACGGCACGTCGGACAGGTCTCCTGTGCGGAAAGCGAGTGAAACGACTGTGACGAGCCAGAGGGGCTTCTTCAGGATGAAGACGGGTTGATCGTCGACGAGTTGGACGTCGCGGAAGGCGGGGAAGGTTGAGGCGAGCTGTGGATACAACAAGCGTGTTGGTGAGTTAAGTTCCGCGTGCGAGGGGAGTGCTGGCAAGCGAGACGGTCCGGACTCACGTCGTGCACCAGCTTGGCGCCGTCTCCTTCCGCCTCGACGAGCTTCTCCAGCAACCACGCTCCCATCGACTGCTTCTCTAGCCGCTCCAACACCTCGCCCGTCTCGTTCAGCACGCCCGCCAGCAACCCGAGGATTTCGAACGCCTCCTCGTCCTTCTCGCCGACCTTGACCGCATTCCCAAGCGTCGGGTGCGCCTTCTCGACGTGCGTCTCGATGCGAGCGAACTCTGCGAGCTGCGCGACTGTCGCTTGGCGCATGCCGCGAGTCGAGAGGATGGAGGAACCGGGGTTGTCGGAGGAAGAGATGTAGGCGGAGAGAACGAGCATCTGGATTGTCGAGAAGGCGCTGCGCCCGGTCAGGCGGTGGAGGGCGTATCGGTCGCCGCTCAAAAAGTTCAGGAGGGCGAGGGTGCTGTGTGCGAGAATACGGTCAGCTCAGTTGTGTGAGGATGCCTTCGAGGCGCCGAATGTTAGGGTTAGGGTTAGGGTTAAGGTT